AAAAAAAAAAAAAAAAAAATCATACGACATATAGTAAGAGTTTATTTAAAAGGGTCCCATGTTGCCCATTACTGACATGATTCACCGTTTAAGAGATGAACATCTCTCACTCCCCACCATTGAAATGCTGCTGTTTAACGTCCTGTTACTCTTCTGCTGCACACTCAACGATGGAATGAACTTCACTTTCTCCTAAAGTTTCACCTCTGCACACAAAACAGCTTTTAATTTTTCCTTAAAACACAGTGAAAGTTCTGACTAATCCTCAATATTCCATTTCTTAAACCTACCATTAAATTTCTTCATAACAAAGTTAGGAGGAAAAACTTCATTCATCCCACTTATTACAACTTCGTTAGGCCACTCTGACTTCAGCTGCTAGAGCAAAGTGAAGGCCGAGTAAACTACACGTCCCACCATGCATTGCTGCCTTGTTCAGAGTAGGTCTCTACGGAAACAGAAAAAAATTCTACAAGTCCCACCTGTTACTTCGTTTCTAAACACCTCCTGCACTTTCAGCTCCAACAGCAAACAAAAACAAAAGCCTCGTGATCTCACGTCGCCACCGAGAGCCAGATAAACAGGGGGCCCTAAGTCAGAAGGAATGTCTGCTACAGCCGGTAAATTCTATCAAGCTCTAGCGCTCCCCTCTTCTTTCCGGGGCTGAATGCACGCACAAGCCTTCTATCTGCATCCAATGGGGGCTCTCCAGCCCCACAAGGGAGAAGAACCGGTTACTGTGCAAACACAACAGACCCCGTGCCGGGGAGGGGGCTACCTCAGAGTGCGAGTAAGAGCGACATGACCCCGAGAGACAGCCTCAAAAACACCAGAGGACTCATTGCAAACGGTGGAGAAAGCTGCAACCCCGCGGCTATCACCTTCCGCCCGGCGCCTCCATTCCCACAGGGATCACGACCCCGACACTAACCGCCGCCCTCTACTGCGGTTTTATTCCCCCTCAACCGGGTTACTGGGCCAGTCACTTCCCTTCCCGTGCGACTGGCGGGTGGTAAGAAAACAAAATCCTCCCGGCCTCCCCTCCGTTCCCTCCCCCCTTACCGTCTTGGCGGCCTCCGCCCAGGTCCTGCCCTTCTTCCTACGTCCCTTTTCCCTCATGTCGGGTCTTGAACTGACTGGGAGGCTCCCGTGTCCGGGCTCCGGCCGCCCTCCCTTGCCTGCTCTGCCCTGCGCTGCTTTTCCCGCGGTGCTGGGAAAGATAGGAGAAAGGGGAAGTCAGGCCGGAGGAGCACCCAAGCAGAGGAAGCGGCGGGGGTGGTGCGCGGGGGGGTCTATGGGGCGGCCGGTCCTCCTGCTGCCGTTGCCACTGCTACCGCCGCTGCCATATTGGGTTCTTACTGTACAGGCTGCCGCTACGGTCATGTGACCGCTCCCGCGCGGCCGTCACTACTGTACGCAGCCGGCTCCGCGAACGAGCGCGGGCGCGCCCCCGTCTGTAGAGCAGGGCGGCTGAGAGAGCGAGCCGGCCGTCTGCGCTGCCTCGCCACGCCCCCTCCCTTCCGGTGTCCGCCTCTCCGCAGGAGCATGCGCGCGAGGGAGGACCGACAGTAACCTGCGTCGGGCTCTCTGCCCGAAAATCCTCCTGCGGAAGTGGAACTTGATCCACCCGGAAAGATAAATTGAGTGGATCCCGACCGCGTGCTAGGCGCCAAGTTGGTTGTAAAAACCTGAACTAGCGGCTTCTTCCCTCAAAGTGTGACCCTGCCAACTACTACTTGGATTAAATCTTACATTGTATTTTCTCGTTTATTTATGTTGATTTTGACGAAGAATACCTTTTTAAAGGTTTTCAGTAATTCTCGTCTAGTTCACCCCATTCGATAGATGAGGCCACAGAGATTGAGTGACTTGCCAGACGCATGAGTGTGGCCTGTTGGAAAAACCAGAAATCACATTACCAGTTCAGTGTCCTTTCTGTCTTCTCAGAAAGCATCAAACGTAGATGACAGGTTTTTTAAGGCCACCAGTAACCATAATACATTTTCGCTCTTAAATGTGAATCGTTTCATTAAGGACAGAAATGGTGCCCTTTTTATTTCTGTGAGCTCAGTCTCTGGCACAGTTCTGCAGATAAGTATTTGCTGAATGATTCAGCTTTCTGTGGTCAGAAATTATTATTTGTAACACCTGTAGCAGCCTTCTGAAAGATCCAGAATGGGACATCTTCTGTTGTATTATCTGTGTCTTTATATTCTGTACAGTAGAAAGAATGCAGTAAGGCCTACTGATCTAAATCCACCTGCTTCCGGAAGTTGCTTCCAAACCACTATTCTAAAATATGAGAACTGGGCTACCTCTTGGGAGGAAAGACAGATGAGGGCAAAACTTGGAGTCCATGGACAGATTTCAGAAGTTCATGGTCCCTCTAAAATTATGGACTAGCTTTGAGTGTTATGTATGAATTTTTTGAGAAGTTTCGTAATTTTTCATCAATTTTTCAAAAGGGGTCTGTTATGCGGAAAAAGGGGGGAGAAGTATTGTAGAGAGTTTAAGAGGCCACTTAGATACTTTCTAATATTTTCCCTTAAGTCATTGATCAAACAACCCTATTTTAGCTACCGATAAGGATATATTTTCCCAAATGTCTTTAGTAACCCATAGCACTATCTGTTATACTGGTGGCGCTACCTGCCTTCAAAACCTATTCCTGGCTCGGCGCCTATAGCTCAACCGGCTAAGGCGCCAGCCACGTACACCTAAGGTGGCGGGTTCGAATCCCCAGCCCGGACCCGCCAAACAACAATGACGGCTGCAACCAAAAAATAGCCGGGCGTTGTGGCGGGCGCCTGTGGTCCTAGCTACTTGGGAGGCGGAGGCAGGAGACTCGCTTGAGCCCAGGAGTTGGAGGTTGCTGTGAGCTGTAATGCCACAGCACTCTACCCAGGGGGACAGCTTGAGGCTCTGTACCAAAAAAAAAAAACCTATTCCTAAAGTCAGTTTAATAAGCCCTTTTCTATCCCCAGCTATTGACTGGGGCTTATCTGTTGCTTGGACCTGGAACTCTATCCCAACTTGTTTTCAGACCCTACTAGGACAAATACTGCTAATGTACTTACATTGCATTTCTAGTGCTTCATCCTAGGATTTTTAGCTTCGGGCGTAGGGATTGTGATATTGCAGTTCCTACCTTTTAGTTATCCACAGATCTAGATAATTTATTATTACTATTATAAAATTATAATTCCCTAGAGAGCATTTTTAGCCCAGTGTTTATTAATTTAATTTGTTTTACCTATTTGCACCTCATTATCTCCACCCTACTTCTGGATTCCCTTAAATATTCTTTTCCACTCAGTCTCTACTCAAGCCCCCGCTTCAAAGGATGCCAGATCTATCTTCTTGAAACCCTGCCACCTGTTGAAAGATCCTCTGTTGTTCTTGATTGAATCAAAATGGCTTAGCTTTATAGGTATAGTTTCTGTTGTCAACTTAGTCATCCTTTGACTTTATCTCTGATTACTTCCATGAGCATCCGCCACTCCTCTGAAGGCCCCATCTCTCTGTTTGCCTTTTAATATAGCTAATAACATTGTTTCATACATCATATAAAAATAGTGGCCACCAGTTGCAGTCTCAGGTTGCCTTCCTTCAGTCCATCAATTAACCCATAAAATTGCCTATTCTAATCCCTCCTTCAGTATACTGAATACTGTATAGGGGACTCTATCTCTTCTTTGGAATGTTGCTCCATAAACTATCCCGATTTTTTTCCATTATTTTTGAATTCAGATTCCCCTCACCCCCTTCTATAACCATATTCCAGACCCAGCTTAAACAAAGTCTCTTACCCTACCTCCCTACCCTTTCAGATCATTTTTCCCTTTCTTGCTTATGAATTTCTTGTAAGTATGACCATGACCATACACTCAACTGTCTCCACTTCCACAATTTTCAGCCATTCCTTTACCCTTCTAAGTAATAATACTTTCTTCTACATTAAGAAATAGAATGGGCGGCACCCATAGCTCATTGGGTAGGCCATTGGCCATTGGCCAAGGCTGACAGGTTCGAACCCAGCCCGGGCCAGCTAAAATCAACAATGACAACTGCAACAACAAAAAAAAACTGGGCATGGTGGCGGGCACCTGTAGTCCCAGGAACTTGGGAGGTTGAGGCAAAAGAATCACTTAAGCCAAAGAGTTTGAGGTTGCTCTGAGCTATGACTCCATGGTACTCTACCAAGGGTGACATAGTGAGACTCTGTCTCACAAAAAAAAAAAAGAAAGAAGAAAGAAAAAGAAAAGAAATAGAAGTCTGGGATTTGAGTCAGTCTGTTTCCCCCACTGCAAGATCGCCTTGCAAGGGTCCTTAAGAAAATAAATAGAGGTCTGAGCTCTCCCTTTTGTGGCTATCACTTAGGCAGCAGTGGTCAAAATGAAGTTCAGTCCCTTTGTGACTTCTAATTGAAGCAAAAAATGCATCATCTCACATTCACAGAAAGATGATGTCTTCCTTTCTTTCCAAAGAGCTGAGACAAAAGGACAATGTTTGATCCATGCCCATTGGAAAGGTGATGAAGTTCAGGTTGTGCAAGGATATTATAAGTCAGCAAATTGGCAGAGTAGTCCAGATTCACAGAATGAAATACATCATTTACATTGAACAGGTGCAGCAAGAAAAAGCTAATGGCACAGCTGTCCACATGGACATTCATTATAGTAAGGTGGTTTTCACTAGGCTAAAAGTGGGCAAAGACCATTAAAAAAATACCTGAATTGAAAGCCAACTAAAGGGTAAATAAGATAGAAACAATTCAGGAATAAATTTGTATACAATTTTCACTAAAAACTGCTAAAGTGGCTCTGAAAGGCTCACCCCCCACCTCAGGCTTTCAGAGAGAGCCATTCGATATACAAATTTCAATTTAGTGAAATTTGCATACAAATTCAAAATTTCAATTTTTGAATTTGAAATACAAATTGCAATTTAGTGAAAATTGTATACAAATTCCATTCACTTGATGCCATGAGTTTGAAATCTGCAAGAATAAGACCCCATCTCTACAAAAATAGAAAAAGTAGCAGGACATAGTGATGCTATACTCTGGCCAGGGCAACAGCATGAGACTATGTCACAAAAAAAAAAAAAAAAAAAAAGAGAGAGAGAAAGAAAAAAATAGAAGTCTGACCCTTTCATGGTAAGTGAATGACGTGCTTTAACAAACTTCAGCTTGGTGTGCCATAGAAAATGAAATGTAGAAAATTTGACAGGCCAACTGTGGAGGATTCCTTGAGGTTAGGAGTTCAAGACCAGCTTAAGCAATATAGCAAGACTTTTTCTCTACAAAAAAAAAAAAGAAACAGAAAAATAAACCAGGTGTGGTGGCACATACCTGTAGTTCCAGCTTTTTGGGAGACTGAGGCAGGAGAATCACTTGAGCCCAGGAGTTTGAGGTTGCAGTGAACTGTGAGATGATGCCACTGTTCTCTAACCTGGGCAAAGAGCAAGACCCTATCTCAGATAGAAAGAAATCAAGGCTTGGTGCCTGTAGCTCAAGTGGCTAGGGCACAAGCCACATACACCAGAGCTGGTAGGCTCGAATCCAGCCCCAGCCTGCCAAACAACAGTAACAACTACAACCAAAAAACTGGGCATTGTGGCAGGCCTGTAGTCCCACCTACATGGGGGCTGAGGCAAGAAAATCACTTAAGCCCAGGAGTTGGAGGTTGCTGTGAGCTGTGATTCCAGAGCACTCTACCCAGGGTGACAGCTTGAGGCTCTGTCTCAAAAAAGAAAGAAAGAAAGAAATGAAGTGGCTATAATGCCAGCACTGTGGGAGGCTGAGGAGGGAGGATTGCTCGAGCTCAGGAGTTCGAGACTCGCCTGAGCAAAAGTGAGACCCCGACTCATGAAAAAAAGAAAAACTCAGCCGGGTGCCACGGAGAGCACCTGTAATCCCAGCGGCTTCAGAGGCTGAGGCAGCAGGATGCCCACAGCTGCAGTCTGAGGTTGCCGTGAGCTTCAACACCACTGCACTCTGCTCAGGGCATAGGGTAGAACTCTATGTCTCAACAAAAAGAAAGAAAGAAAGAAAGGAAAGAAAGAAAGAAAGGAGGGAGGGAGGGAGGGATCAATCAAGTATTTTTATGCTATTAATTCCAGCCCCAAACCCTAGACATGGTTATCTTGTAATCAATGTGAGATTTTCATTTTCAAAATAAAAATAACTTTTTTTCATTTTTAGAAAATTTGTCATTGTCAAAATTCTACAGCTATTTAAGTGTATGGAAGCATAAACTGAGACTTGACTCTGTGCAAATAATTTATCGGAGGGCTCTCAGAAGAAACTGGAAAGGTGTAAAGGAAGCATGATAGGAAAGGGAAGAAGCTGACATTAATGGCCCCACAAGTATGTCTCCTCTGTAGAACCAAACTTTCTCTGAGGAAGCTGAG